GCCGCGCTCCCCTGCCCGCGGTGCTGCCTGGGTGATGAAATTGTGCTTAATGCGTCCGAAAGGGAAATCAGGGAAATCAGCGTGTGAAATACTATATCACAGGCTTAACTTCATGCTGGGTATTATCATATTCAAAATGCCTTACGATTACGGCAGATGAACTACTCGTGCAGTGAATTAATAGTAAAGGAGACTTTTTATGGGGCCCTTTGATATGTCATCCAGTATAAGGAAGGTGAGATGATTCATAATCAGTGGACATGATATTATAATAATGCATCTTGGGTGGGGGAAAGGGGAGGGAAGAAAAAAACCTCCAAAACTCCCATGTTTACTGAAAAGAAAAAAAAAATTAAAATTGGAATCTTATTTTTTCTGTTTGGTTATCAAAAAATACGCAAAGATACTTGATCATTATATGGGACAAACGGGAAGAAGAAGATGTACCCGTATCCATAACCTGAAAGTTGAGCCCAATTGCTGAAATTGAAACACATGTAGACTACGTGTACGCAATTCTGACTGCACCTGGTAGCAGAATTTAGGACTGTATTAGGTTGCTCACCATTTCGTATATTAAGAGTGAGGCAGTTATGTGAAGATGTCGTGATCTGCCTGATCAAAAGTAATCCTGTTTAAGCAGAAATCCTTATGTGATATACTTTTTTCATATTAAGGCGTTTTCTGTTCTTTTGATCCTTAGTGATCTCAATGATGAAATTATGAAATACAGAGCTGTCAGCAAGCTAAATGGACCTGTTGGCACTTTGGTGACAAATATGGGAAGTCAAATTAACGAAATGAATAATTAAGCACAAGTTAAATAAATGTCTTGGAAGAAGCAGGAGAAAACGTGATACTGACGCATGCAAATTATATTTGGGAAGAAAAATTAAAAAGTAAAATCAAAAGGATACTGGTAAAGTAACAGTGCTTCATAAAATAATCTGGGGGCTGTAATGTAAATATGAGTCAGCAATGTGTTACCATTAAAGAAAAAAGACAACGTCACTGTGGAGTGTATTAATAGGTGTGCTGTACATCCGACAGGACAAATTACCTTTCTGCAAGGGGTTGATGAAGCCAACTGTGTTTGGTCTCAAACTGAAGACAGTCCAGAGGAAAATTACCAAACAGTAGGACATGTAGAAAGTTACAGATGGGTATAGAAGTGTGAAGAACACTTGTTTAAGAAGATAGAAGTAAATTATCTCTTTATGTGGTAAGTGTTGCTGTGAAAAGAACACAAATATTTCATTTTTTTCAGCAGAAAAAAACCCCAATAATCTAAATTATTCATAATGTTCAGATTCAATGTTGGTCAAAACTTTCTAAAGTGTTATGGTTTATATACTGAAATATATATGTTTTTATATAGATTCGAACATTAATGTCCCAAATTTAGCATTTGGAACAAGATACCTACCTCGTGTCAGTGTGGAATTTCTTCCATATGTAGGTTTGATAGGCAAGATTGTTATAGTTAACCTCTTTCATCTTACGGAAGTGGATTGTATTATGAGATCTAGTAAACTTTTTCACTTCTTTTCACTAATAACAATTCAGTAATTTCTTTCCTTTTATTACTGTGAATTCATCACTGTGACTGTATGAAGGAAACACTAACTTTATACTGTCCCTATTGTTTTTCCACTTTCCCAAAGGGGCTCTGTGTGTGTGCCCTCAGCAAACACTAGCTAGCTCTACATTTGTTGTTCTGTTTTGTACAGTCTGCCATTAGTGCAATGTCCAGAAATGGAAGCTGAAGTGAAAATAGCTAAGTTACTGTAATGGGAATTTCGTTTGTCTTCCTGGCCAGGACTGCTGTGGCTATTTATTGTGAAAGGTTCAGGGCCATAAATACAGCTATCTTTTTCGTTTACACTGTATCCATTGGAAGAAAGAAAAGCAATAATATGAAGAAAGTGGTGGACAACAAAGGCACGTTAATATTTCTTAAGCATGTTTGAGGAAGAGAGGGAAAGATCACACAGGTAGAGAGAGATTGGTAAGGAAAGAGAGTAGCAATGTATGAATAGGAGTGCCAAGGGAGAGACAAGGTATATGAAGGACAGAGAAGATATTTGAAGTGAAAGATATCATTCAGGAATGCTTGTTTGAGTGAAGAAATGCCAGCAATGGTGGGAAAAGGCTTTGAATATTTATGAGTAAGCTGCGGGCAGAAACATACAAGAGGACAGTCAGAGCCTCATGAGACATGTAAGAAGGAAAAAGAAAATAGAAAAGAATTTAAATCTCCATACAGAGCACTGTCTGTAGTTATGTGTGTATGGGATTATGATTGAGATTAAAGAAAAGACAAAAAAGCAACAAAGATGAAAGGGTAAGTAAACAAGTAAAGAAGGAAAAAAGCAGAATAATGAAATAGGAAAAAAATGGGAAGTGTTTGTTGAAGTGCTTGTGTGATTCAAGTCATGTAGTTTATAAGCATCTTACAGATTTTTATCTTTATTAAATACCCTTATGATTTTTATATTGTTGCCTATGGCAGTTACCAGCAGTAATTAATAAGCAATAAGCTGGTTTGTATGGAAGCAAAATTTAAAAATGGAAAGTTTTAGTTCTACAACTTTTAGCCTTTTATAAAGGCAGGAAGAGATCTTTCTCTACTGTGTTACCAGTCAGCCTATATGCCATCAGAGTTTCTTAGACTCTAGAATGTATCTTTTATGGATGACTGTAGTCACAGGTTTGCAATGGATAAATACCAGAATCTGACATAAACATTATATATTCTTATGTTCAGCTTTGAACACAAGACAAAAATTTTTCCTTGTTCTGTTTATCAATTATGAATAGAAATTCATATAATAAATAATAATATAAAAAAAAGAAAATACTTCATGTTGTCCTTTCTGTGCTTTGTGTTGCTTAGCTGCAGATAGTACCAGCTGGAATTTTTAAAAAAGAGAGCTTTGTTACAAGATGTAACAAACTGCAAAGAGTGAAGGTAGATATCACATATTTTAGACTGTTATATTTAGTTGTGGTTTGCAAAAGATTTTTTAAACACCTTGCCTTTTATTCATGGAATGAGATTTTCATAGATGTGTCCATATGAATTCTGTTTGGCTGTTTGAAAGGTCCTACAGGATGTGAAGGCGATGATCAAGTTTAACAGCGTAGGAGGAATTATTACATTGAATATATATTCCTGTCAGGATCACTTTCATATTGCCTGTGTTCAGGTATCCGTTTAACCAAGGTTCACTGTAGGCATAAGGTTATCCTGTCAGGAAGTAGAACTGACTTACACTGTCAGTGCACTTTACTGTGTTTTCTTGCAGCTCCATCAACGGCTTTATAAAGAACCTAAGTAAAGATAACAACAAATGACAGTGTAAAACCTCACACATAGTTGTAGAATCACAAGGAAAATGCTTGGAGTCATAAAAATCAGTAATATTTATGAATGTTTTGATTCATGTGTGGTTGGGGTTTTTGACAAAGAGCCAGTGAAGTCAGAGAGGGAGAAAATATGAAAGTGTAAAGTTTTCTTTTAAAGGAAGTTTTACATTGAATTTCTAATTCATAGAACCATAATATCACAGAATAATTTAGGTTCAATGAGACCTTTATAAGTCATGTCCAACTCTGTACAAAGCAGAGGGAACTCAGGTTACTCTGGTGCTTGCTCAGGGAGTTATGAATCAAGTTAGTGCAACTCAAGCATCATTTCCTCATCTGTGATGTAATTTCTCTGTCTCAGGGATTTCTCTACCTCAGCTATTTTGAGGGTAAAATCTCTTCTGTGAGGCATTTTTTAGGCTTTCAGTTATTTTTATCTCTGTAGAGACAACACGCATGTCAACAAGTAAAGCAGTTATCTCCTAATCTCTTGAAGGCAGGAGAGGTGGTGAAAAGAAATAGGAACAGAAAATAGAATTCTGTAGCTGAATACTGAGAGAAATACATTTGAAAGAGAGAGAATATAGAGTGAGAAAGAGAAGTGGCTCTTTTGGAGCCATGGAAGAAAATCATCATTAAGTATACAATAATTAAAAATATCTCTTTTTTTGATGACTTTTTAGGAATGTGAGTTATTACTGGGTTAGTGAAGAAGAGGTAAAAAAATGCACTGAAGAAATCAAGTCCTTACTTGTTTACTCTGTGAAAATGTTCCCATGAAACTTTATTTTCTTTGCTTTATGACTATTTTCATGCTTCTTTTTTCTCTCTCACTCTTGATGCCTTGTCTCCATGCTTTCTGATATTTTGCTTTCTTGCAGAGCAAGAAAGGCCCATTCAAGCATCAAGTCTATCAAAAACTACCCAAAATGTTTACAGCCAAAAACTTACAAGCAGTCCATCTTTCCTTTTGATTGTACTGGTGATTATTCACTGATTATACAGTAGGGTCTGAATGGCAGTCCAGTGATTGTTGTAAGATTTTAACAATCTCATTGATTTTTACAAGGTTTCCTGTGTTTAAGATTGATATTGGTATTAGGTAAGAGATGAGCACAGTACATGACAAG